GCAACAGAAAACCAACACACCGCATGTTCTCACTCATCAGGTGGGAACTGAACAATGAGAATCACTTGGACTCGGAAGGGGAACATCACACACGCACGGGCTATCATTAGGAGGGGGAGGGGGGAGGGGGGAGGGATTGCTTTGGGAGTTATACCTGATGTAAATGACGAGTTGATGGGTGCTGCCGAGTTGATGGGTGCAGCACAGCAACATGGAACAAGTATACATATGTAACAAACCTGCACGTTATGCACATGTACCCTAGAACTTAAAGTATAATAATAATAATAAAAAATAAATAAATAAAAAAGAATTCACATAGTCCCTGAACTTCAGGAGCAAAAAAAAAAAAAAGATCCCAAGCCTCAGGGCCTTTTCTCTTGCTGATCTTATGCCTCAGTTCTCTAACCCAAGATCTTTATATGGCTCAGCCCATTACACTTTTCTCAAGTGTCTATTAAAGGTAACCTCTCAGAGATGCGTTTCCTAAAAGCCTGAAGAGCTCTGCCCCTCATTACCCACAGCACTCCATCCCTTTAAGATGTTTAATTTCCTCTTAGTACTTTTCACTACCTGATATTTTACATGTAGCTACTTATTATCTGACTTCCCCATAATCTCCATGAACACAGGAGCTTGACCTGTTTTATTTACTGAGGCATCCCCAAGGTTTAAAACAATGTTTGGTACACAGTAGGCAGTCAATAAATGTCTGCAGAATTATTGAAGGAATCGATTGATCAGAAAACAATGAATCAAATGTGTTTTGTTTATTCCACATGGACTTAATGTTTTAGAACAGTTTTAGGTTCACAAAAAAATGAGCAAAAAGTACAGAGATTTTCCATATACCCTTAACCGCAATACATGCATAGCCTCTCTGATTATCAGCATCCCACAACAAACAGGTACATTTGTTACAACTGATGAGCCTACACTGACTCATCCTTATCATCCAAGGCACATAGTTACGTTAGAGTTCACTCTTGGTGTGCATTCTATGGGTTTGGACAAATATGTATAACGACATGTATTTACCATTATAGTATCATACAGAGGAGTTCTACTGTCTCAAAACTCCTCTGTGCTCCTATTCATCCCTCCCTCTTCTTTAACTCCTGGCAACCATGAATCCTTTTACTGTCTCCATAGTTTTTCCCTTTCCAGAATGTCATACAGATGGATTAACCAAGTGTTTTTTGTTTTGCTTTGCTTTTTCTACAGATGGCCAACTTAGGTCACAGTGCTCGTCTAGCACTGGCTTGG